TGGTTACTTACCAAATCAATGGTAAGATAACAATGTCAAAGGAAAGAGGAAATGAATATGAAATACTTTTGAGTAGGTAGAATGTTCCTAGTTACTTGCTCAATTTTCAAAACCAAAAAATCCTTGCTATTTTCAAAATACCAACACTTTCAAAACATCTTTCAAACTTGAAAACATTTTCAAAAGATCAAACACTTTGTATACATTCTTACGAACGAGAATCATTACAAAGTTTGCCTAAACAATGGCCTCTTTACAAAATACTTTCAAAAACCACACAAAGCACAAATTTCAAACAAAAGCAAGTGATCTAGAAAGTAACTAAGAGCCCATGGAAAACCATGGATGAAAAGGGTGCTAATACCTTCCCTTTTCATAATCTATCCCCCGAACTCATGAAATAATCTCAAAGGTCTTTCCTGTGCTTTTTTACCTTTCTTTTTTGGATAAAAGAAAAGTCGATGGCGAATCTTTCTAACCGTAACATTTGCGATCAAACGCAAAACACCCAAGTCAGTTCTCCTACCGTATCACATAATGCAGAACACATGTCAATCGAATTGGAAATTCCATTGAACAAATAAGAGCCCTACCCAATTGAATTTGCGACTGCATCATGTCTAGCCAATTGAATTGGAGACTATGTACAAGCCATAAAAGCAGTTGTCAATTCATCTGGATCCTAGTTAAAGAAATTGACATGTTTGTTTTTCAAGAACCAAGCCTCCAATGTAGATGCGTTTTTGGAACATTCAGAATTTCTAGCAACTTGAGAGGAACTTGAAGCTTTGGTTAGACTAAGAGATTAATAATGGTGAAAGAATAATAAGTATTGAGAGAATTGTATCATACATCTCTATTGTATATGAAAATGATGATATCCTCCATATGTGGGTTCCTGTTAAAGATGACAATGATGCTAGGGATATGATGTCTGCACCATATGATATTGTTTTGATAGTTGTAATATCTTAGATATGTTGTGGTGTTAAATATTTTTATTTGTTGTTTGTATTTTTTTTAAGTGTGTTTATGTTCGCGTGTTGTTGTTTTATGGATGTTTATGTTCGTTTGTTGTAACCAAGAGTCGTTACATATATTAAATGCCAAGGTTACAAAAAATTTAACAACATAATAAATTATCATGTAGAGCTTGTTCCAAAATTGGGACAACATTTTTGTGTGTATCCGGGCTAAGGACATATACCTCACAATCTAACTATTTTGTCAGTCGTATCCATTTAGGTCTAATACGCGTGCTGCTAGGGCGGCCCTTTTTCTTCCTTCTCATATTTTCGTTGTACCAAATAATATTCCCTTGATATGTAGGCAAATATTCATCTTTTGATACCACTAGGAAGTTATTGTGTATACACCAATACATTTACGACTTTGTAAATGACAAATAGATGCTTGGAAGTGTCCTGGTGAACACTTAAACATGCCATAATGACATGGGAGCAAAGGATACATAAGACTTGAAACATTCCGCAACCACACCAACCTCGATGTAGTTTGACCCGTTAGTATTATCCCTTAGGTCTTCCCTCATTATGATTGTCGGTCTCCTCTAAAGTAAAAGTGTATCGATGACAGTCAAAGCATGTAATAACATGTGTGATATCTTTGATATTTTCCTCCTTCATAACTTTCATGCATCTTTTACTGAACAATTACCCCGATTATAAAACTGAACTCCATTTTGCCTCTGACTGCTAACATTGATCCCAACCTAAAATAGGTTTCTCTCACTGACACAGTTATTTGTATGTTTCTAATGCCTTTCAAGACAAAATTCATTAATTTCACAAGGTTTGTTGTCATGTGGATCCATCGTTAATCCTCGTCAAATGCACTAGTCCACTTCTCCAATGGAATATTATAGACCCACCTTAATGCATCCATATTTGGAAATCTAATTTCCTTTCTGTAGTGTTTGAGTGATAGCTGATTTAAAGCATACCCAGCCAGCGTTCATAACTTTTTCCGAAGACTCCTATCTTTAATTTTCCGCATGAAGTTTTGTGAAATATGTATAATGCGGTATACATGGGTAGAAAGAGGATTCTATCAACCGCTATCAGGATTATTGTATGCACTCTCAATAGATGCATGTCTATCTAAAATCAAATAGAGGTTGGGTTGTAGAGCAACATGTGTTCTGATTCTTGAGAAAGAAACTTCAACCACCACCGGTCCCACCTTCAACAAGAACAAAGGCAATGGAAAAAATGTTGTTATGAGATTCTTTGAACATTATCACCAATTGAGATGGCTTCTCACTTTTGCATGCATTCAGAAGCTAATACGTACATTAAACATGTACGCCCATCACTCTTACTCCTCAACAACTTTCATTCAATGTAAATAAAAATTTTACCAACATTTCATCACTCCCTCCACTATAAATAATATCCTAACTCAATTCATTTTCACCACCGACAAATACTCATAATCTCTCATGTTTACTCACTAGCAAAATGACTTTCTTGAACATGGAAGAAATGCATAAAGAAACCATCAACAATATTACTTATTATGTAAGTGTTTATTTTGATATGATTACAATTATATTTTTCTAACCCATTATTATTTTTATGAGAAACTTATTTATCATTTTTTTAGGATCCATCTAAATTTCGTACTCGTATCCATGAATATATTGTATCCGACAAATTTATTCAACCTTATTTAGAGCGCACTAGTTTTGGTCAAGAAAAATCACGTCCGACTCCGTTAATATTAAGTTTATACTCATTGTACAAGAAAGATGGAGATCTAAAACACACACTTTCTTCCTTTTAACAGGTGAATGTACTATAACACTAGAGGACTTGCACATGTTATTGGGTCTACCTATTGAGGATAAGACGATCAATGGATAAACCAACTTAGTCAATACAATATGCGGGGAACTTTTGGATGCCGACTTGTTAGATGATAACTAGGGGGCCAAGGTATTTTACTTAGCGCCTTAAAAATTATTACAACAATATATTATGCTACTAACTGGTTCATTATTATTTCTCGGTTATATTATTTTGAGGGTATATTATACTACTAAGTGGTTCATTATTATTACAAAGGTATAAGAAATTCTACTGAATAAAAAAAATTAAAATTAGATGTTATATTATGCTACTAATTGGTTCATTATTATTTTTCGATGGTCCTGATTGTATTGTACATATCATGTATTTACTCTTATTAAAAAACATAGATAAAATAGGAACATATAATTGGGGTTCGACTTGTTTGTTCCATCTCTATAACTCTTTGTGTAAAAATGCAAAGAAATATACATCTATATTTTATGGAAGCCCACTCTAAACATGGGGTTGGTCTAAATTTTCGCCCCTAGCGTCTGTCAGCCACAACAACTTCACATTCTCCTATGCAAAAAGTAAGTTAATAACATTATTTCCATTTACTTACTTTACCCATTATTATTTCTAAATAATTTATTTTAACTTTTTTGGTTTAAGCGGTCGTCCCGTGGGATGAATTACAATAAATGTCTGAAACACTACATCAAGATCTATCAAAATATCTTGGATCACCTAACACCAAACAATGTATTTCCACTAAGCTAATCATTTCATAATAATTTATTTTTAATATTAACTATTTACTAATCTAATTTATTTTCTCTCTTCAGTTTATTTAGAGGTCATATTTGAGTTTAGAACATCATCATGAAATCAACGAAGAAGATGCAATCATTTAGAATTAAATAATACTAATCATCAGGTTCACCACTCTAGAGATGCACCATAGTGACCGTATAAAACTGCAGTTTAACATGCATCAACAAATTCTACGACGTTCCTCGAACAATGACATCAATGTAAAGTTAATGAACAATGGACTTTTGACGATTGTAAAGACTTCGCTAAAGTTTAGTGTCGTCAAAGAGGTGTCGTCATCAACGAGTCTTAACCGACATTGTCATGCTAACTGAATCTAAATTAACTAATAATTATTTGTATTGATATAAATTAATCACAATTGAGTTTTTCTTCGAAGATAGGTATTTATACGATCCACACCAAACCACTTACACACAATAATTTTCAACACCTAACCCCCTATAAAATTACCAAACTACTTACACACAACACCTTATCCAACAAAATCACCAACCCACAAACACCCAAACCCACAATCAATATATGCCACACACCCATCCACAAAACAAGAGTGTTTTCCATACCACCGACAACAAATGTTTATTATCAAAACACCTAACAAACATATAGCGCTAACACATCCTCCTATCATAGCCAAAACACCCAAGAAACAAATGACACCAACACTTACTCCAATAGCCAAAACACCCTAACATCATAACACCAAAACATCCAACAAACATATGGCTACTAATCACCATAACAACCATTTATTCCTTCCCCCAACGAAACATTCACACCAATGTCGCCATTCAATCAACCAAATCGCTCACCAACAACCCCATCAACCCAAACAACACAACCCAACCACAACAGCATGAGCAACAAATTCAGTTACAACACCGCGTCAATGCATACACAAGACTATGTAGAATTACAAAAACTTATTAGGAGATCGTTGATGATGATGTTCTAGGAAACTCGTATCAAACCATTTGGGTGAGTCAACAAAGACTGGTACGAATAAGATTACTTAAGAAATGTTGAAATGAATTGAATTGACAACTGCTCTTATGACTTGTAGATAGCCGTCAATTTAATTGGTTAAAACTCTTATTTGTTCAACAGAGATATCAATTAAATTGATATGTATTTTGCGTTGCAATTTTTATTGTTTGAAACATGGATAGTTTAGAAATTAATGGAAAAGGATGTTTATTTAGGATTTTTTTTGGTTTGAAAAACTTGTAATTTTCATAAATTCTAATGTTTACTTGTTGAAAGTCCAAGTACTTTATTCTACTCAAATCACATCCCTTCTTTTAATAACCAACAAACAGTCATGATAAGTGTCTCCATGCTTTTTCTTTAATGGCCATTCTTTTATCCACACTTCCAAAACTTGGCACTGCCAATACCAAATCCTTCATCTCTTTCACCTCAAAACCCATAATTTGCAGGAACAACAACCCCACTTCCAAACGCCACCTTATCCTCCAAACTTCCTTACTCTGCATTGGTATTTCCCTAACTCCTCAACTCCCACCCGCTCTATCTTCACCAAATTCCATTCTCTCTAGCATTGAAAATACCAGTTCTTGGTTCCGTTTCTATGGCGATGGCTTTGCTATTCGAGTTCCACCAGAGTTTCAAGATGACATGGAACCGGAGGTACATTCATTCTGAAACTGTCGTTATTATCAATTTTTGAGAATTCATATTCAAGTTTATAGCTTTTGAATAGGAAGAACTAGTAATGACATATTGCATTAGGGTATGTTTGGATTGATGAAATAGGGTCATGCAATTGCTGACTAATGACAAATTGAGGGAGAATTGGATTGAATTGTGATGATTACAAGTAATAAAGGCTTAATTTTGATGATTACTAGTATTAAATTTTCAATTAACAGAAAACTATTATCAGACACTACTAGCTGCAAACTAACTTTACATAGTAGTGATAGAAAACTAGCGACAGCAATGACCGAAAATGAGTGGTGCAAGGTTAACACTCCAATGCTCAAGTCAGTTAGTTATAATGTCCAAGATGAGTGAAGTGAAATTATGAGATCAGGAAAGTGTACCTTAAGTCTCACGTGTGTTCGTTATATACGACAAATGATTATATTTGGGCTTTGCATTATTGGGCTTGATATCTAGATCTTATATGTCTTCGGCCGGCCCAAAAAAAGCTATATATTGCTGATTGATCGGTCTATAATGAACCTTTGTAATTCATTTTTCCAGAACTTGCTTCTTAAAAATAATCATATTAAAGCATTATGAGATTTGCTTTTCAGTTTGCTGAGCTTGTTTTCCATTTGCCTGTAGGACTTTAGCGCTGGAATGTCTCTTTATGGGGACAGGGCAAAGGAGAAGGAAGTTGTAGCACGTTTTCTATCTTCAGATGGGTAATTTTTATTATCAAACTCCTAATTCTCTACTTTCTTATCATGCACTTATGTATATGTTTAGAAGGAAACATTAGCATGTCATCCATGATTGTAACAGATCTGCGGTTCTGAATGTTATTACACGGCTGGCCAGTCAACTTAAAATCACCTTTTTAGAGGTAATCAGACAGTCCAGGACATTTTATTTTACTCATAAATATATTCACCCTCTATTAGGCATACAACTACTTGATTTGCATAATTTTAGTTTTCAGAAACTCTCATAGCGCCATTGTGTTTTTTATATCTCAAGTCACTAACATAGATTAGATCTAGTTTTCCTATTTTTGATTCTTGATATAAGCTCAAGGAAGGAACTTACATGTTCTTCATTGTAGTAGGCTCAGGATATATCTGGTTTAGGCTCCTTGAAGGAAGCAGCAAAATTATTTATTCCAGGTGCAATTTTGCTTTGACTTCTGCACGATTTTGTAGATTCTTAATGTTATTTTTGTTCTAAACTTATCTTTATAGTATAGTTTTGTTTTAAATGATATAAATACTTCGTTGCTCTTTCTCTTTACTCCTAGTTCTTGGTTTCGTGTCTCATTTTGTCTGCGATGTACATGCAGGAGGGTCAAAAGTTTACTCTGCAAGATCAATAAAAATTAAGGAAGAAGGTGGTTTAAGGTAAGGTCATTTTCAATCTTTTTCATTACTAATTTTTGTTTTTAAGAAAAAGAACAAGCTATCCAAGAAAAGAAGGTTTGGCCTATATAGACAGCAATCTAGTATAGAAAACCAAATCACTAATCACGATAGAAAACCAAATCACATTAAAAAACCACATCCCAATAATGCAAAAAAACGTGAAAATAATGAAGCAACTTTTGGAGTTTTTGAGTTGATGTGATTTTTCAACTTGATTTTGATCAAGATGATGGGCATCCAAACACATACTGAATTTCTCCGTCGTACCAAATTCCTAAACAGTGTCTACTTTTCTAATTTCAGGACTTACTATTTCTATGAATTTGGTAAAGATGAGCTTCACTTAGCATTGATGGCAGGCGCAAGAGGTGGAAAGGTTTGTTACTAAGCATTTTACTAACACATCATATCAAGTTGGGTATGCAATGCCTGTATTATAGTATAGGTCACCAACTTTTGCTAGTTGAACCAGTTACCAATACAGCAAATTCTCACATTTCTGTGGTGATACATGATTTGAATCCCCTCCTCGTGTGAATGTTTCACACGAGGGCATCAAGTGCAAGATCTCACCATTAAAACTCCTTCAATCCGTCCCACGTGGATTTTGATGGTGGACCCCCCACTTGACCCCTCATGTGAAATTCCCACATAAGGGGATCCAAACAAGTGATACATGCCTATATCATTTCTATATTTTCAAGAATATAAAATACAGAAAAATAAATTATTGTGTCATTTTATTCTATAGGTTATAATTGCCTGTGCAACTGCACCACAGTACAAGTGGGACACTGATGGTGTAAAACTTCGTTCTGCTGTTATTTCATTGACAATTCTGTAGCCATGTCTTGAAATTTTGTAACCGGGTATGCCAACAGTTTTGTATCATGCAACACTGTTCGCTATTTTAAGCCGAGATTTACATATAAACTTGACAGTATAGAAGATCACCAATTTCCTTGTAATGAGACTATTTATTTTTGTAGGGTGTATGTATTCCAAAACATTCTATTATATTCCAAATGTATCTCAATGCAAAGACGGTTGGAGACATGTTCACCTACTTCATACTCTAGCTTAGTGTTTATGTATGTCATTAACGTGATAAACAGCTAACAATTCTATTGTATGGCAAGAAAGTGTTACTTCTTGTACTAATTCGTTTGTGCAGCATTACTGTTTCTAGCTTCCATATTGATTTTTCTTTAATTTTTCAGCAGTTCTTTACTTCTGATGCATGATCAAGTAACTTTGTAACATTTGATGGATATATAATTCATTATGGATACACCACAAAAATCTGCTACTAATTACTGAGATATGATTCTCGCGTAATGGTATCACCATGGTTATCTTACCGACCAAAACATAATACTCCTATTTATCAATGAACACAGGCTTAGTCACTTTTTAAATATGGAATATTTGGTTACTTTTAGACCCTATTTACAGCTTTAAAATAACATTACATATCACAGTGCAAAACTGCTTAATCTTTCCAATCTTATGATAATGATGAACATGAGGCAGGACTAAATATCTTGCACCAAATTACAGATTTTATGGTATGATCACTTCTGTGTTGCAGCTTGGTGCAAACTAAAACAACTTATGTAGCAATATCAAGTTATGCCAAATTGGTTTACACCACACTGGTCAAAAATCAGAATGTTAGATGACTCCTAAGATTGAAACACTTTCCATTTCAACCGAAAAAAAATAAAATATAAGACTGGTAGTTAGTTCATTTCGCACTCAACAACCCAAGTACACTCATTACATATCATTCATTTATTGAAATTAAAGTTCTTAAAACAGTTATTTTGCTGGTACATATAGAACCGAGCGGATCATTGTTATTAAGAACTAACTCCATTTTGTGATAGTCATCCAAAAACAGTATGTTTACTCATCAATTCCCTCATTAATCATAGTATACATCAACAGATTCAACATAACTTTACTGAGAAATGAAAAGGCACTCATTCTCAACTTGAGCGAGCGAAAGAATGCTTGAGTCAGATATGTTACCCTCACCGCTTGATTCTTCAACTTCATATCTAAGCACAAGCACTATCGTTGCACTTTGCCTATTCTTTGCACTCCTCTGTACTTGCGTCATCGTAGGCCACCTTCTTGAAGAGAATCGATGGGCCAATGAATCCATCACTGCCCTTTTTCTTGTACGAACTCAACTCATTCTATACCTTTTCTTCACTAACAATTATGTTACTTTCTATTTCAAAATTTTCTTGAATTGGTTAATTGAGTGCAGGGTTTGTGTTCTGGAGTGGTGGTGTTGTTGGTGACCAAGTTTCATAGTACCAAGATTCTAATATTCAATGAAGATTTGTTCTTTCTTTACTTGCTTCCCCCAATCATTTTCAACGCCGGGTACCAATGATCGATTATTATCACCCCTCTATATCTCTTTATTTACTCCATATTTTATCTTTTTGTATGATTTTTAATACCATTTCAGTTTCCAAGTCAAGAAGAAACAGTTCTTCAAGAATTTCACTACTATTCTTCTGTTTGGTGTCCTTGGAACCGTTATTTCTTTCTGTCTCATATCTCTTGGTAAGATCACTGTTTATCAACCCTCTCGAGTTTCTAATTGTTTTCCGAACCTCATGCTGAAAAAAAGTTGCTTTCACTGCCACTTCTCTAGGTGCCTTTCTACTCTTTAATGGGATTGGCATAACTAACCTCGGCATAAAAGATCACCTAGGTGAGACATCTTTATTTTAAAGCAATTTCTGTTTATCTATCTCTTTCGATCTAATCATCGTCTTTCCTATTCTGATTGTTCATGAACCTTACATGTGAAGCCATTGGGGCCATACTGTCAGCAACTGACTCAGTTTGTACATTACAGGTATATAATGTTCTAACCTCAGCTCAAACATAAATTCACATTTTGATCATTTAATGACTTTCTTTTCCTTTTTGCGATGAAGGTTCTGAGTCAAGATGAAACACCTTTTCTCTACAGCATTGTATTTGGCGAAGGAGTAGTAAATGACGCCACGTCCATTGTTCTTTTCAATTCAGTCCAATCACTTAACTTCAGCAGTATCAATGCTATTACAGTGTTGAAATTGTTGGGGACATTCCTCTACCTCTTTTGCACTAGTACTGCTCTTGGCATAATTGTAAGTTCAAATCGAAATCTATAATTGATATAGGAGTGGAGTCGCAGTTCTATCCTGACATGCTATATGTCGGCCTTTTCAGGTTGGACTCTTAAGTGCTTATATTATTAAAACACTTTACTTTGGGAGGTATGATTAAAACTCTAGTGTATCAAATGCTTAACAAAGTCTGAATGTTGCGCACCTGACATAAATCTTTTTATTTTCAGGCACTCTACAGATCGTGAAGTTGCACTTATGATGTTAATGGCATATCTGTCATATATGATTGCTGAGGTACAAAATCACTATCTACAAAAACATAAATGCATCGATTCAGTTTATAATTTAAAGCTATATACGTTTGTGTGGCTTTTGCAGCTTTTGAATCTCAGTGGAATTTTGACAATTTTCTTCTGTGGCATTGTTATGTCACACTACACATGGCACAATGTTACAGGAAACTCAAGGACAACAACCAAGTAAGGACATTATCTTAAACATTTTTATATGTTGATCAATCTGTTGAGATCTAAATGCAATGGCAATTACGAACATTTTTATCAAAATTAGTAAAACTGTTTCATTCTACACGAGTATTTTCCCCCTTTCTTTTTTCTGACAGTTATTAAACAATCAGCAATCTAAACTTTGTTTTGGTACTGATTGCATTGAATCTTAATTTACAAAATACTTTCACAATTTCAGGCACTCCTTTGCAACTCTCTCATTCATAGCAGAAACCTTTATATTTCTATATGTTGGCATGGATGCTCTAAACATTGACAAATGGAAAACAAGCAAAGCCAGGTATCTAAAAACTTCTCTAGTTCACACTTTATTGTATTCCCATTCTTTTCATCAAACAAAACACAATCATAAACCGATGGTTAATTTTTCTAGTTTTAATTTCAATCATTTTCTTACCACATTATTATGTTGGAGCAGCATAGGAACTTCAGTTGCTGTCAGCTCAACTTTGATTTCATTAGTTTTGATTGGAAGAGCGGCATTTGTTTTCCCTATTGCAAACATTGCAAATTGCATCAAAACAAGAGAGAGCACAAAAGTTGAGTTTCGATCACAGGTTGTTACTGTCTTACTAACACCATCGCTTCAAATTGAAAGAGTGTTCAATACGGGCCAATGTCCAACACCGTCGCATGTATTAAATTCAATTACATCTATTTTGTTAATTATTACCAGTCTCAACATTTCAATATCATGTTCGATGTCCGTGTCTGTATCAATACTTCATAGATCATCAATGTTGCCTTCTAATTCCCTAAAGTGCTAAAGTTTTCAGTTAACTCGACTGATTTTCTGTTGAACTGTTCAAATTGTTAGTTTATAATATGGTGGGCAGGCTTGATGAGAGGTGCAGTGACGATTGCCTTGTCTTATAATCAGGCAAGCACATGCTTTGACTTCTTTCTTTGCAGAAATTTCTATTGAAATCAGACATTTGATCTGTGCTATTTTCAATTCAAATGCAGTTTTCAAAATCGGAGATAGCATCCGCTGAAGACTCTGCATTAATGATCACGTCTACTATAATCCTCGTCTTATTCAGTACCGTGGTTGGTTTTTGTGTTGATGTACATAATATGAACTGCATTAGGATCACGTAAATACTAATTCGGTAGTTTTCATTGCCAACAAAAATAAAATGCAAACAGGTATTTGGTTCCGTAACAAAGCCTTTGATTGAGGCTGTGAAGTTAAGGCATTCAAAACCAGACATTTCTGGTTCCACCGATAATCAAGAGGATCTGAGATTACTATTCCTTGAAAGCAATTCTTCCGTCAACCAAAGACGAAGTACTCTGAGTTTGCTGAGACATTATCCTACTACTACGGTTCACTGCTTTTGGAGGAAATTCGATGATAAGTTTATGAGACCCGTATTTGGTGGTAGAGGTTTTGTTCCCGTTGCTCCTGGTTCATCTCCCGCTGAAGATGAGATTTCTTGAAAGCTATTATCAAATTGAGTGAATGAATGGGTGTTTTAAGTATAACTAAATCAAACCACGTAATATAAACAATTCAGTTAACCAATCTTAAAAAACTGTTTAAATTATTTAATTAATTATTTTAAACAATATCATTTAAAATAAGTTTGTAAATGCAAACTGATTATAAACCGATTTTAAACCGCTTTAACGATTAACAATATTTTTATTAAATGGTTATTAAAAATTGAACCAAACCATTAATGTATTTTAGTTCAGTTCATTTTATGATCCACAAACACCCTTAACTCAAAACTCCATCATCCTACTATAAATAAAGGTGTGAAAATAAACCCATTCAATAGATCTATTTAAAATATTTTGGTGCACCATTCTTAAATGCCCTGATTAATACTGTTGTATTGTCTCGTGATTCTATAAACTTCACCTTTTTTTCTTTTGAAAATTTGTTATTAGTTAGAAATTTTAGTTGTTCAATCTCTAATGAAGCTTTAAAATACCAATTAACATCCATTGAAAACTATGCATCGTTGGTCACCTCAACAATAACAATATATATAATACAATCATCATTATAATTATTAATGACTAATATTACCTAATTCTTAATTTGTACCTGTTAAATAGAAATTACAAATATATATAACTATTATTAGATTAATTCTAAGCTTCACATTAAAGGAAATAATATTATTGACTAATATCTCCCTCAAATTGATGCGACTGATCAAGAAGGATCAATTTGTGCAGTAAAAATTGGTGACGAGGATGAGGGACAACTTTCGTAAATATATCTGTAAGTTGAAGTTGTGAGTTGACATGAAGAAGAGATATAACATGATCATCGAGAGCCTCACGAATGGAGTGGTAGTCTACCTCGATATGCTAAATGCGATCATGAAAAACTGGACTAATGTCGCGCCGCGAAAAAATACAAAGTCGCCATCAAATTTTATTTATTCCAAAGGAAAGGGAAAATATTGAGAGAATCCCAAAAGGTGAAAAAAATTGTCGTCACAACCAAATTCGGGTTTGGGAGTCGATTATGCAAGGAAAAGATATTAGCACCCCTCACATCTGTTGTACTCAACGAGAACCATTTAGTTTGTTTTGCGTGTAAGGGTGTTGTTATCTAAAAGTTACTTGCTATTACTAATTATTGGATCAAATTAATGGGGGAAATAGGTTTTAAATTAGTGTGCTCGTCAAGATTTCAGAATCTCGTGCCTACGTATTCTCATGGTGCAATGATAAAATTAGATCCTCGTAGTCCGTGGGTTGAAAAATAGTTTTGTTGGTTGTTTTTATTGAACGATGTTAACGTTCATGTTGTAGCAATTAACATTGCTTGTATGATGCTTGCGTGTGAGGAGACTTAACCGTACGTTCGTATTGCGGTAGAACGAAAATAACGTGTTCTTTCTAAAAAATTTCAAGGTTGCCACAAGGCAAAGAAAATGAGGTTTGATTGGTTAAAGTTGATTATTAGGAGACGTATAGTAGATGGTCTCCCAAGACTGTGAGTATCTAGATATACGGGGAATCAAGAAGAATACACCACCAATTTCTTTTTCATTTAATTACGAAAAAGTTGTCTTGATTTTAATCACACTAAAGTCTATGAATGGAGGTGAATAATTTGGACAATTGGATCATGCGTCTTGTATCTAAAGACATTCAAATCAAGGATGGAAATACAATCTCACATTCTTCTCCATTTCTTAAGGCTCATGGCGTACGATTCATTTCATATTTTTATAATATTTTATAATTTACTTGCAAAAAAAAGAATTTATGTTTTACATGGATAAAAGAAAAATCAAGTTATGAAAGAAATGAGGGGACTTAATCCTAATGTAATTATGCAAATTAATTTACCTAATTCTAGAATTTTTGCATGGGAATCTTAAGAAAACATACTTGTTTATGAACTAAAGTTCTAATTTAATTCAATTAATCAAATAAAGATACTTGGCTAATGGGAACATGTGAAGATTATAACTCAAGAATGAGTTTCCTAGCAAGCATAATCAAGCAAAAAAAACCCAAGCAAATCAATCATGGAACCAATATTAAAGTGCACTAAAAAAATAGAGTAAAAACCTTTAATTTCTAAACACCTCAATTAATCAAAACATGGCTAAAAGTGATTAACCTAAAGTCTAATTTCTAATAAAACCTCATTAGTTGTTTTTTAATGTTATAATTATTGATATTAAAATCCTGGCACACACAATATCAGAAGTCAAGACTGATGTCTCAACAACACATAATGTCATAACATGTGTTATAACATCTCCTGACAGAAAAACAGACTTGCTAAAAACAGAAAGATAGTGCAGAAAATTAAATTGCAGAAACTTAAAAAACACAATCAATTGTTAACCCAGTTCAGTGCAACTCACCTACTTCGGGGGCTACCAAACCAGGAAGGAAATTCACTATCAGTAGTTTCAATTTTAAGCTAAACAATCCCAGTTTACACTTCTCACTTAATCTCTACCCAATGTAATTTCTACCTAGGAACCTCCTAGATATGTGAACCCCTCTCACTCCCAATCACGCAGTGATATCAAATAACAATCGTAATCCCAGGGAGTGTCTCAAGAAACCAAAAAGGAAGAACACTCTTCCAAAATAAAAATACTTAGTTTGCTTAAAAGTTTCACTAAGAATAATACTAAACTCTTTGCTTAAAAGCTTATAGGAGAACAACAACTTGATAAACAAGTAACAACCAGTCAACTTAAATGCATCAAAAGATACACGAGGACGTACAAAAACACACGGAAAAACTAAGGAACTCTCAAACCCTAAACCCTTATTTTTCACAAGGTTTTACAAAAACTATGTTGCTTAAAAACTAGGTCTTAGACGTCTCCATGGGCGGTTCTACCATGCGGCCAGCTTGGGCAATTGCCCAGGCTCGGCCCGGCCCAAATTTTTTTTAGTATTCATGTTTTTTTTAAATAAATAAAATTAAAAGAAAAAGAAAAAATAGTGGAACCTAGAATTGAAAAAACCCAAATTTTATTTTATTTGTTTGAAGAACATTGTTAATTCTTATTTGTTTTATTTGATTATTATTATTTTAAATTTTGAAACTACAATTTTGTAATTATTTTATCTTTTGTTCAGAGATGAGGAGATTTTTGGCTGCTAGAGAAAATATTGAGAATATGAATGTTGTGCAACCAGAAGTCGAATTAGAACCACTGTCTAATGGGGTTAATGAGTTTAATTCAAATGAGATTGTGCGTGATCCAGGTCGTAGGAAATAAATTAATGAGTATGCTCCAGATATCCTAGACCAAGTGAGGAGGATATATATATATATATATATATATATATATATATATATATATATATATATATATATATATATATATATATATATATATATATATATATATATATATATATATATATATATATATATATATATATATATATATATATTGAAGGGTCCAATGCAACCAGATTTGTCAAGCTTTCCTCGTACTCTATTTGGGAGTATTAAAAGATTATTTAATAAATCATGGTATAAGAATTATACATGGTTAGAATACAGTGAGATGAAGAATGCAGCTTATTTTTTCATTGCTTTCTCTTTAAGCAACCCGGGAGGGCCGATCACTTTGGTTTTGAAGTCTTCACTAAAAGTGGATATAGAGATTGGAAGCATGCATATCAAGGCTTGAAAGGTCACAATGGTAGTCATAATAGTTTGCACAAGTCATGTGTCAAGCACTACGATGATTATAATAATCAAAGAAAAAGTGTGACAAGTACGTTTGCTAAAGAAACCAAGGATTCAGAAGAATTGTATAAGATTTGTTTGACTTGTTCTGTAGATTGTTCAAGATATCTCATAGCACAAGGCACGAATTTTGTGGCCATGATGAATCATCTACTTCTCTAAGTAAGGGTAATTTTAGAGAGATGGTAGATTGGGTAAATTTCAGAATGAACAAGTGAGTTATGCTTTTGATCGTGGTGGAAAAAATTGCACAATGACTTCTGGTGACATTCAAAAGGAGCTTGCAACGTGTTGTGCACATGAATTTCCATGGAATTAGTTGATGATGTCAAAGCTCGGTTGGCCACAACGAGAGAGAGAGTGGTTGGGATAATTTATTTTCCGATGTCCAAGATTTTTATGTTGCTAAAGGTATTTCGGTTCCAAATGTAGATGACGAAATATCGATTCAGGGTCGTTCAAGGATAGAAGGGAGGAATATCACTAATCTTCATCATTACCGTGCATAGATTTCTTATGTTGCTATTGACAAAATATGTGTGGATATTGATCATCACTTTAGTGAAGGAAGTAACATTATCCTTAATTACTTCTCATGTCTTGACCCCAATAACTCTTTCTCCAAGTTTAATGTTGATAAGCTTGCCCGTCTTGCTGATATTTATCATGCAGACTTTTCTGATGATGACCGAGGAACAATAAGGGATCAACTTGACACTTATGTTCTTTAAGTGAGAAGAAATTCTTTATTTTACACTTGTGAAGATGTTCAAAGTTTGGCTATGAAGATGGTTCAAACTGAGAAACATTTGATATTTTCATCGGTTTATAAATTTATTGAGTTACCTTTGATATTGGCGGTGTCAACAACATCTGTTGAAAGAGCTTTTTAAGCAATGAAGATTATCAAGTCTAAATTACACAATAAGATCAACGATGTTTGGTTCAATGACTTGATGGTATGTTACACCGAGCGGGAGATATTCAAGTCACTTGATGATATTGATATTATTCTAACATTTACCACAAAGAAGTCTCGAAAAGTACATTTGCCTCGAGATTTTATTTAACCCGCTATTGTAAGGTTATATTTATCTCTTTTATTTTAAACTATATTTTTATTGAAAAAATGACGAGTCTCTTTTATTTTGATTGATAACTATTTATATATTATATACAATGTGAATTTGCGGTCTTTAATATTTTGCCCAGGCTTTATAATTTTTCTGGCTCCGCCACT